ATCACGAACAGCCCAGATGCATCTCCAATTCTGTGTAGTGGAGCGAGGCCCTATCTCATGAAACAACAGCTGTACCGATGAGGAATGATGGTTTCGTGAGTGAGGGGGGGTTTTAGGGTTTGCCGGAGGGGGGGGAGCTGGGGAAAGCAGTGGCAAAGGAAGGGGGAAAAGGGGGAGCAAAGGACGGGGGGGGGGAAGCGGGTGGAAGCAGGGAGCAAAGGAGGGGGGAAGGGGGGGAAAGCATGGGGCAAAAGGGAGGGGGGGGAAAGCGGAGGGCAACGGGGTGGAGAAAGCGGAGGGCAAGAGGGGGGGGAAGCAGGGGAAAGGAGGAGGCACAGGAGGGGGAGACAAGGGAGGGTAAAAAGAAGGGAGCAGGAGGGAGAGAAGGGGAAAGAAACGAGAGTAGAGAGAAAGGCGAAGGACGAGGGCGAGGAAGAGGAAGAAGGAAAAGAAAACTGAATGGGTCAAATTTTCTTAATCTGGCAATTTATGTTACAATATTTACGTACTTTATTTTAATTTGAATGGTCCTTACCACCATCTTTTACTTATGGAGTAGTGAAAACTCGAAAACTTAAAAATACACGTTTTCTCATGAAGTTTTATCATTTCAGGGCTTTTTGAAGACTGAACGGACATTAAAAGAAGGTTATTGTAAAAAAAAAAAAAAAAGAAACGACGTTGTCAATGGGCCTCGCCACACCACTGTCCAAACGGAAAAAAAAAAACGGATGCATCTTGCCACTTTCTGAGGAAGATGCATCGCTATTCTATGAATAGTACCCGCAGAGAGCGGCAAAATGCATCGATGACTATGAATAGTAACGGATGCATCTTGCCACTTTCTGAGGAAGATGCACTCGTGCCTTTTCTCGTTTCGACAATCGTGTGTCGAGGTCCAACGTATGGACGCTGATTTGTTTCCGGAGAAGGATTTGTGGGGGGGGGAGGGAGGTGGTTCTCCAACTCTTCTACTTAACAGTCTGCGACAACATTCCTTTTTTTTTTTCTTTTTTTTTTTAATTTGACGTGTCCTGTCATAGAGCTTTTAACTTGGAGCTTGGAGAGTATGTATGTTAAATTCCATTTGATTTTTTCTAGTATATATTGTGAAAATCACCAATCGTAAATAATTTACATGTTATGAGAGAAAACAGCGTTTCATCTTTTCCCGCATCCTCGCCCTCGACCTCGATCACTGGTATGACCCTTTTTTTATTTTTATCGGAAAGAGATTAAAAAAATATTTTCCCGCTTACCATGATGCGCGGGTGAGATGCCATTAATTACAACGTTATTATCATTTTTATTAAGTAATAATCTAGACTACCAGCCGGGCCGCCCGGGTCACCCTATTTTCCCGGACGGCCCGGCCGTGCAAGGACCAGGGAAGGTCCTAGCAGAAAAAATAATTAAAAAAAATCAAAAAATCCGAAACAAAACTATGTTATGCAGAAAAATAAACTGAACAACTTCTGCCTCAGGGTCACATCGAAATTCTTTACCAAATTTAAAATAAAAAATAACGTTAAAAAATATATATATATATATATATATTTATTTATTTATTTTTTTTGGCCCGGCCGGGCAAGTGGCCCCGGGCCACTCTGGTAGCCTAGGTAATAATTGAACTAATTAGTAAAATGGGCAAGGAAACAATTGCTTTCATCATCAAGAGGTTGGATAGACGAGGGATGCGGTTGAATTACGCCGATCTCGGCTACCGTCTTCACCTGAATATAACGCCCGGTTATTATCTCCGTATCTAGACTGAAAGTTGCCCCAAATGCAGCTACAATGACCTGGCGTTCTATTCGGGAAACAGAGGGCGTGCATGTCATAAAATCTCACAACTTTATTTTTTTCTGATTCTGTCAGAAATTTTGAAGCCGTTCTCACACCACCGTCTTCACCCGAATAGAACGCCCAGTCATTATTGCTGTATCTGGACTGAAAGGTGCATGCAGCTATAATGACTGCGCGTTCTATTCGGGTGAACACGGAAGGGCTTCTTTTACTAATCTCTGGACGTGGTTGCCGTCAGATTCATCCAGGTCTGGTCGAAATTGCAGTCAGATACATTTGGGAAACTCTATGTGAGTATGTCCTAACTAGGGAAGTTAGAACATGTAATTGAACAACTGTCAACACTGACAACAACAGCCTTCCCCCCCGCACCCCCACCTTGCCCCCCCCAGCCTTCCCCCTCGCACCCCTGCAACCCCACCTTGCCCCCCCACGCCCCCACCCTCTCCCCCCCCTCCGAGAGGAACAAGAGAGGATTGGGGGGCTTGAAGGGAGGACGAAAGGGGGGAGGGAGGACGGAGGGGGGAAGGGAGGATGTTGAGGAGCCAGAAGGCTCAGGGCAGAGGAATGAGAGAAGGGTAGGTTTATAAGGCACAAGGGTCAAGTATGAAGGCACAAAACAAGGAGGGGGGGGGGGGGGGTTGTTGGAAGGCTGGGTGCGGGGGTCTCTGGCCATTCAACCGTCATATTGTTGGGATTGAGCGGCATGACCCTAACGGATTGGGCTGAGATGGAAATGATGGGTTGGCTGCAGGCCCTTAATTAATTAAGGGGTCTACGAATGGACAGCAGGTTAGCGAAGCAGCAAATGATGGGCTACACGCGTAAGGAACAGCTTAGCAAGATCCTTGGTGGAGGTAGAGTTTTATTTAAATCGGCTGATTCTGGCTGGCGTCGATAAATCAGTCGGGGAATGAGTGTGTGGGGTGTAGATGCATTCCATCGACTGCGTTGGATCATTCACTGTGTTCGATGAATGGTTGACATTTGATGGATTAGGTAATTGTATAAGGAAGTTATCTAATAACCCACCTTGTCCTCTGGATTGCCTCAGTTTTTTGCCCCCCCCCCCCCCCCCCCCCTCTTTGGCTGAGGTTGTGTGGCTAGTTAGTTCTTCAGGAATGACATTACTTGCTTATCTCTTTTACAATGGGTATATAACCACGCTGTGGAACGACCCTGCAAGGAATCGAACCGGCGATCTCAAGCTAAACAGTTGGACACTGTAACCACTGCAAGTGCGACCCGATCTCTTTTAGTTGTTGTCTTGGTCTGTCTGTGTGGCTTGTGTTTGCGTGTTGTAAATACAAGAGCTGCACCACAACTGCGTTGTGGATTGTGAAACGATCGACGACACTGCTGCCTCATGAACGACTTTGTTTTATTTTACCTTGTTATGTGTTTCGGTTGTGTGTCTAATTCGTTTTAAAAGGGCCTTTACCCGATATAGGCCTCAGGCCTTGTAAAAATAAAGCAGTATGGGCCTTGAAAAGGTAAAGCATTGTGAAAAGGTATTTGCCAGAGCTCAGAAACGTGAAAGCAGGTCAAAGGTCAAGTTCTCTATCAACAGGCATATCTAAAGCTAAGGCAAAGGGCATTGTCAAAAGACTTACCTGTTCACCAGGAGATGTGTATG